CTGGTCAGTGGTTTTCAAGGCAATTGAGATTCCATGGACTCTCTTTGCCCTAGAGATCAGAGGGTTTTTTCAGGTTTTGTGCATTGTCAGTAGGTCAGACATGTTGGCTGCCTCAGACCAGAGCATTCTTGGGCTTTAAAATATACGACCAAAAGGGCTACACAGGGAGCTTTTCTAAAGCAGACACAAGGATTATCCAGTTATATTGACAAAATGACAAAATACCAAGTCCTGAAGGAAAAAGAATAGTGTTTCTTGACAGAGTCTCTATGTTGAAAGCTATCAATGTATTTGAAAAAATGGAAAATTGTGGCAATCCCATTCAAAGAGAAAAAAATTGTACATAGATGTTGTTACTTACTTGAAAGACCTCTGATCAAAAATTGTTTTTTGGTCATACACTCTGTAGAGATGTTGAAACAGTATGTGTCAAAGCATTTTGAGCAATTTCAGGTGCAACAGAAATGAGGAATATTGCATCCCATTGCCACATGTAGATTTTCTGGCCTTTAACAAGTTGTTAGATAATGATGTAGTCATTCCCTCAGTGGGGTACTAATCCTAGTCCTCATGACTGCCTGCTGTCATAAAACCTGTGAGAACTTAGTATCAGTGAGATGCCTCCTTTCTGCCAAACTTTACTCTAATTGACCAATGGGTTAAAAAAATTACAGGAAATCATGAACAGATACAGAATATAGCTCCTTAAAACCATGTTTAAATATATCTCACCTGCTCAAACAGCCCCAAATCCCTAAATATAATGCCTTTTCCTATAGTTCTTTCTTAATGATGGGCCAGTAATTTTTCATTTGCAAGTTTTTTTCTAAGAGAAAAAATAGTTTTCTCAGTAAAGTTCTTTCTTTCAGTGATCAGGAAATTAAGACTGATTTAGTTTCACGTCCTTTGAAAGCAAAATGGAAAGAAACACTTGGAAAAAAAAGTGCATGTATATATATATATTCTTGCAGTAGTATGTAAAAGTCTAACAAAGCTAAGCTATTTTCCTAAACACATAAGAAGAACATCACATGTAGTAGGAAGTAATATCTTTTATTAGCTGGATTACTGAGAAGAAGTAAAGAACTTTTCAGGCAAACAGATCTTTCATGAACTTTTCCTTTTTTATGGCAACAGGATTTTCCAGTCAGTCTGACTAAAAGCACTACTATACATCTGAAAATCTTCTGAAAAAGAGTTCCTAAAAACTTTTAGAAATGCCAACAGAGAGCTCCAGTCACAGCTAGGACAGCCTTGTAACTGCTTCTGTAACATCTTGAGATGCTTCAGAGAAGCCATGAAGAAATATTGATCAATGAAGCCATCACTGAAATATTGGATCACACAAAATTATATCTATTTTCAGTTTGAAAAAAAATCCAGGAAGGTCAAGATGAGTAATAAATCCAATATATTACAAAGGAGCAGAAGCCAGTGTAATTACCTAACCAATCTCTTATATAAAGCAGACCATTGCATCTCTGACTTAATTCTTTTTTAAGAGACCAGAAATTGGATAGATCAACACTTGTTCCATTTAGGTCTGATTCATTCTTGCTCTTTAACCATTTCAGCTATAAAATGCACTCCTAATCCCTTCTTCAAGCTTCATTTGGTATTTTCTTCCCTGATCCTTTCCTCAGGATTCATTTTGGTATTTTCTTCACCAAGTAGAGGTGAGATAAAATCTCATTTAATGAAGATATCATGTTGGGCAGCATAGTCTGGTTCCAGTATAGCAACAAAAAATTAAAAGAAAAATATGAGTGATAGATTTTTCTCTGTGCAAGATGTCAACTCATAATTTGTCAGTTTCTTCATTCATTGCCTCTCTTTTAAAACACAGAACTTTTTCTCCTAGAACTTTCTGAGTTATGTAAAACACTTTCATAATCTTTACTGTTTCTTTTCTCCCCAGGATGATATTTAAAGTAATACACAATAACCTGAAATTGCAGAACTGCCTGTGATTAAGACTCAGGGAAATGTATTTTACTTGCTCTGAATGATCTCATATTTAAATAAAAGAACACTTTAAAGAAAAACAAACCACTTAAAAATGACACATTTCTTTCTCCCTCAGTAATTTTCCACCTTCTAACATCTTAAATAAGAGAAGTTTGTACTTTAGCACAAACTTTCACAGAAAACTAATCAACAAAATGAATGCATTACTAGGAATAACAGCTCAAATTACCTCAGCAGGGTGGTTTTGTAACTATGTTGGTACCTTCATTAGGCAACTCAGGCTGAGCAGGATAATGTGTGTGTATACATGGGTATATCCAGCTACAGATTACATAATGCAAGAGAAAAGTGGGCAGAAGATTGAGCCATAACAGGACATGAGATTCCAAGGGTGAAAATCCTTATTCAAGGGTATGTTTTGTTGGGATTCCCAAGATGAGATGAATTCCTGTCTGGGTAGGTAGGACTGGGTCTGCACAAAGGAGTCATCCAGGTCTGAATTCTCCCCTCTTTATATATCATGATCTCTCCTGTCATACTGCTGAAAATATCTTACAGGTGACTTCTCTTTTTTTTTCCAATTTCCTTTTTGTTTACTTCATCTGCCCTACTTCACGCCTTTCACTCCAGACACCTATTCTCCAGGTTTTCTGTTCCTGTGTTCTCACTTTTCACCAATTTCCATTTCTCAGCCTGTAAAATCAAGCTTCCTGCCTTCTCTGTTTTCTGTTTAATTTTTTCTGTGTCTTTGTGTTCCTTCTTTTTGTTTTTCTCCCATTCTCTCTTTTGTAGTACTACTCCACCTAAGTCTATTTTACTCTTTCTTCCTAATCTTGTCTGGAGTGAACTTTCTACTCTACCAGCCTTTTCTGTGCTCACCCACCAGCTTCTATATAATTTCCAGACAATTTTTGCTTTCTTTAGTAATTTCCTTTCCCTGACTCCTGGGCATGCAAGACAAACTATTCACTTTCAGAAGTAGAAAACAAGTAGCAAGTCTACTGAAAAGTCCCTAAGAAAAGACAAGTAATAGTTGTTGCCAGCATCAGTGGAAATGGCAGCAAGGCAGTCTCACAGGGAACAGGGGGTGTAGTCTGGGGCTCCTCCAGAGATGCCACCGAACTGCTAGCAGTGGGAGAAGCAAATAACTTTACTTTGGGAGGGAGGTGACAGCTGGAGCTTTGCTAAGAAATGTCGAATTTAAACAAGAAAGAAAACAAACTTCTCGTTGTGCTTTAGAAAGACATACATGGAATCTCATTATTATTGCCTCATAAAGAATATACTTAGAGGGTGTCTTAGCATTACCCTCTTGACCTACTGACTCAGCAGTATTCACAGATTGGAATGTCACCTATCTGGCACTTCAAATGCTGTTACTTGAAATAATTTTTGGATTCAGGCAAACACAGAAGATATCTTGCATCGAAGTTACATGTTTTTTTTACATGGGAGATTAGTTTGTAGGGTACCTGGTGAGACATTTTGTTCCAATTTACTTTTCTAAGTCCCACTAAATTTATTTGGAAAGGTTGTGATTTCTCAGGGAAAGGTGGTTGTGTCTTCACTCTCCTCACTCTCAGTGCACTTGCCTGTTAATTGCTTCAGTAGCAAATGGCTTCTCTTCAGAGTGGGATTCCCACGTCTTTCCCAGAAACAAGGGAACTGATTTGAAGAACCCACTATGGTTTTGTTGCTTATGGTGTGAAATTACCTGAATTTCCCCAACATGTCTGCAAGCAGGATATTACATTGTGGGACGGGAGAGGAAAAGAATTTTTCAGATCTGTGCATAATTATATCTGAGCTTCATGCTCAGAGCTGTCTGCCTGCAAATGCATGGGAAGCTGAAAGAGCCACTTCCAGCAGGAATGCAGACATGGGAAGAAGAGCACTGATAAAGGAGCTACCACTAAAGGAGAGCACTCCTTTACATCAATCTTGAAGCCTTAGATTAGTGGAAGAAATGCTAAGGGTACTCCACTGACAATAAAGGCATATTTAGTTTTGCAAAACATTTAAGTGACTGCTGGCTGTATTTTTCTTTTATTTGCTCTGTTTGCATTTATATACAGACAATTATATTTGCTCTTGCTGTCATGTTGGGTTTGCTACCTCAGTAGATTTTGCCTGCCTGAGCCCCTCTCCGTGTGTAACACTGATTAGTCTCAGTTTTTCCATAAAGTGTTAAATCCATAATGGCAACTGACCATGTTAATTTCCCAAGACAATGTAAGGTCTGCAAGAATGAGCTTGGAAATATTTCATAAATAGTTAATAGGGTTTTGTTTTGTTTTTATTTATTTAAAGCAAGTACAACATTTACCGCTTTTTTTTGGTACTAATCTTTTCATGTAGATGTGCTTATAGTGTACTCTGTAAATATGAATGCAGTTTCTCCTTGGTAGGAGAAATCTTTAAGGCCCTAGGAAAATAGTAGTGCTTTCTCCATATCTACATTATACACATCTCTTTAAAGAGCAGAAATGTATGTCTCTATGTTTAAAAAATTAGAAACTGCACAGAAAATTTTCCTGTTGATTTCAACTAGCTAACTGTAATATATATTTATGTTACCACTGGATATGTTCAAAACAGAAAGATGTAACTGGTGTAATATTTGGAAACATAAGGCTTGCATAATTTCATCACTTAATATAGTTATTCCAATAGCCAGTCTGGTTGTCAAGCAGTGTAAGACCTGTATAATTTTTACCTTTCTGCCACACTGTCCCCTTAAACACCAGTGGGAATAATAAGTAATGTGAAAAGTAACATCATTCTTCAGAAGAAGACAGCCTTTAACCTTAGACATACAAGTAGAAATACAAGTCAGACTGCATTTTTGTTTCAATCACTTCCCTAGAAACAGATGAAAATATGTTATAAAGTAAGTATAGAGAGACAGAAAAGTCCCATATGAGCATAAAGAAAAGCTTTGTTAAGAAAGCAGAACATATTTTTTTCAATGCTCATCATATTGAACATATATTTGTTGACCTTTATTATCATGATGTTTCCTTCCCATTTAGGAGATTGTCAACTTCAACTGTCGGAAGCTGGTGGCTACAATGCCTCTTTTTGCAAATGCAGACCCAAATTTTGTGACTGCCATGCTAAGCAAACTGAGATTTGAGGTGTTCCAACCTGGAGATTATATTATCCGAGAAGGGGCTGTGGGTAAGAAGATGTATTTCATTCAACATGGTGTTGCTGGTGTCATCACCAAGTCCAACAAGGAGCTGAAGCTGACAGATGGCTCTTACTTTGGAGGTGAGTAGGAAAAAATGAATGACAGCACTGGAGTGAATGCACTAGAACAAAAAACGTACATAAAAGACAAAAAAAGGTTTCTGAATAAGTTAGCTAAAAGTCATCACAATTCAAAATGCAGTGAAGAGTGTACAAAATATTTCTGAATAAAACATTCATTTGTTGTGAGGACAGCTATTACAAATGCAGAATGACCTTCCAGAATTTTGAAGTTATTTTGAATTAAAATAGCTGTTATTTAACAAGAAAATATTTAAATAAAATATGGTAATTTGCATAGTAATTTTATAGCTTTTAAAAGGTAAAATTGATAGGATTAATCCTTAAAAAAGAATACAATTTTTTGAGCCATAAATCTAAAGGTAAAAATCATAGTAGGAATTGCAAAATTAGCAATGAATAGAAGAGCATTATTTGAATGGGATATTTTGTAATTCATTAATATTTCAAGATGTTATTAGTGCTTTTTCAGTGAATTTTAGCACACATCAATGTTTATCCTTCCAATATATGCTATGAGAACCTGGACTTCCTCTCTGACTACGTAGCTCTCTAACAGATGTACATTAATAAAAATCAGGCATTAATTTTAATCCTAATTAAATTAATCTGGTAATCCTAAGGAAAAATAGTTATTTGCTTAGATGAAGGCATCTGAATATGTATATTTTGATGAAAGCAATTGCTTTTCTTAAATATAATAATTGATTATTTAAAATAGTTGTTCCCTGTGACTGTAAATCATCTTTGTGCAATAGAATAGGTGTCTGCTTCCATACGCAGCAGAAAGGCTGCTTTTCAGAAACTGCTTGAATATTTGTGTGTGTATCACTGCTGCCCATGAGTGTTACATTTAGGGGTCATTGTATTAATTTGTAGTTGAATTCTATGAATGATAGCATAGCTGACCTGAAAGCCTTTCTGAAAATACTCAATTGAAAGCCTAACCAGTGCCATTTAGTTGGTATACAAAAAGGGGAAGCTAAGAAAAGTGAATTGGGCTCAGCGTTTCAATTGGGCTATAGAGTTACTTAACTAATCCCATTTTAGAACAATACACTAAAGCACCTCCTACTGATCTGGCCAGAAGACCTTGTCACTCCGAAGTAGCCTCTGCAAGGTGATTTGTATCACCAGTATTTGTAGAAGTACTTTGGTAAAGAGGTCTTGTGCTTATCCCACAGGATTAAACTGTAGATGCTGAAGACAGGAGATTAAGCATAAAGAAAAGGTAAATGCTGAGGATGAGGAAACAGAGCAACCTTGGTCTTGGTCTCCTCTATGCTTAGTAGTGCCCTAGTTTATGAAAATGAGTTTGCAAGAGCCTGTGTTCTGAATCTGGCCATAATACTCCTCTGAACCAGCAGAGGATCAGAGGAGATTGCACATGAAAGTATTTTACATAACTGTCAGGCTGTTGTTGCAGTGCAGCTATTTAGCTCATCCTGTTCAACTGCTACCTTTCTTAACAGGAATGAAGACAAAAAAAATAAGCTACTTGCAACATCCAGACACTACAGGAACTTACTACACTGCATACCAAAGCACTTTTGCTCATCCAAACTGCAGCTGGGATGAGACAGGTGTTGCAAAAATGGGTTGTAATGCATCCAAAGCCTGCTGGGGCAAACAGAAGGTAGTAGCTGCTGCTGTAGCATGGAGGGGTGAGGAGAGATGAAAAAAGGCAAGTGCTCAGGAAGAGAGAACCTGAGATAGGAAATGTCCCAAGATCAAAAGTGGTGTGGCTCAGCTCAGTGTATTTTGTAGCAAAACACCATATATTGTGAATTTCCAGAAGTGTATTTCCAGCTGGGGACAAGAAAGATCTGTCTTAATCAGAGGAGCTTGGATGCCCTATCCACAGATGTGTTTGAGGCCAGTCTGGACTGGGCCCTGAGCAACCTGATCTAGTGAATGGCATCCCAGACCAAGGCAAAGGCGTTGGAACTAGATGATCCTTAAGGTCCCTTACAACTCAAACCATTCTGATTTTATAATTCTGTGACTGCAGCTGAAAAGAGAGAAACCAAGCTGCAAATCAGATATCTGTGAATTGAAAAGGTTTGGATTGTCAAAGCAGAAAATAAAAAACAGTTCTAAAATTCTCATCTCTCTGGAGAACACCCACTTTCTCTGAAGTGTATATCAAAAAAAAAAAAAAAAAAAAAAAGGAAAAATGTAAAAGCTTCCTGACAAAAGCAGACACAAGGACTATTGCATAGTGATAAACTAATAAACTGGAAGATCAAGGCTGCATTCAAATCCTAAAACCAATAATCCCTTTTTTGCTTAATGGACACAAGAGAAATCTGAAGCTGACACTATGTTTAAGATGGTACTTGTAACAACAGATCTGTATAGCTGTCAGGTACGATACAATACATCAACACCTGTGCTCCCAAAAGCAAGTAGAGGGCACACAAGTGACAGGGTGCCATGCCTAAACAGATCCTTTTTCAATTTTTAAATGTCTTATGTTTTGAAAGTTCCTCATCCCAGCTCAGAGATGCTAACTTCTGTCTGTCAGGTATGCCCCAGAGCTGAGTTACCTGGGTACCTTGGCTCTGGAGAGATTTGTAGGCTCACCTGCAGAACAGTAGAGGGTTTCACCAGCATCCTGCCTGGGATTTGGAAAACCAAACTCTTTATATGTATAATACTTCTGTGCTAACAACATTATATCAGGGAAAATAGGTAAAAAAACTTACGAGTAAAAAACAATTGCCCTTAAGTTGTTGGAGAACTGGCAATTAGTGTGAAAGCCGAGACTGAAGAGGAGCCAAAGCAGAATCACAAGTATTTGGGAGTGACTTGAATGGAGTGAATGGAGACTCTTGGAAGAACAAAAGCCTGGCAAACCAAAACTTGCAGTAAAAAAGAGGAAATTCCTTGAGGTTTGAGGACGGATGTTGAACATTTAAATTCTCCTGCTTGATCTTTGTTTTTAATTAAAAACAGGCTTAGATCTGGTTTAATAAGAAACTAGATAAACCTTACAATTGGCTGGTAATTCTTCTCAAAAAGAATATGCCTGGATAACCACCAGTGAAATAGATGAATCAGACTATACCTCCTCTGCTGTACACTTCCTGTTCATTTTTGAGAGACTCGCAAAGTGGTGACAATGGAAAGATCTGGGCTTGGCTGCTGCCTGCTTCCTTCTTCATCTGCACTCACTGGTTTTCTTTTGGGAGGGAAGGAGTAAATACAGTACTGTAACCACAGAGATCTTCTGGTTTATTCCTTGGTATTTCTGTGGGAAGAGCATTCTGTCCCTTGACCTTGATGTGTGTTCATAAATGTAATCTTGAACTTTGTGTGCTGGAGCATTGCTTAGCCCAGCAGTTTGTAGGAAGCTCACTTTCACCCCAATAGGTGTGGTTTTTTTTCAGGTAGAAGGACATTATCATCCTACATATCTCCTCCAAGCGCTAGTAGGAATTTGTAAAGCAGTTTCTGATACTACTATCCTCTTACCATTTTGCTGGTATTTGTAGAAAACAGTAACTTTTTACTGCCTCACCTTACAATCCCTGTCCTCACATGGTATGCTCATGTGAATTTTTATAAAAGGGACAGGAATTAGACATGGAAGACATGAAACTAATTTTCACTATACTGTGCAGTTATATAGTCATTTCTACATTAATGAAATTATGTATTTTCACACTTGTCAGTGAAAAATCATGGGATTTTAATACTCTATAGTGGCTTGTACTGGATTTGTTTTTAATTGAACTATATATTTATATATATATATGTGTTTGTTTTGATACATCAGTGGATTTTTTTATGTCCTGCTTCATTTTTTACTCTGTTTTATGATAATTCCCCATTATTAGAAATGGGATTGCTGCCACTATCAACATAGCAGTAGATGCAATTTTTCCTTTTCCAAGTAGAAGAGAAACTTCTCATACTGACAGCTTTCGTATGGGAGGGAATAAGGTTGCCTTCAATAGAAATTACCATAGAATCATAGAAACATAAAATGGCTTGGGTTGAAAGGGATGTTTAACACCATCTAGTTCTGCTCCCCCCACCATGGTCAGGGACACCTCTCACTAGACCAGCTTGCTAAGAGCCCCATCCAAGTGCTTATCCTTGAACACTTCCAGGGATGGGGGCATCCACAACCTCTAGGCAATCTGTGCCAGTGCCTTACCACTCTCACAGAAAAGTATTTTTTCCAAGTATTTAATGTATCTGTTCTGTTTCAGTTTGAAGCCATTTCTCCTTGTCTTTTCACCACATGCTCTTGTAAAAAGTCTCTCTGTCTTGCTCAGAGACTCTGATTAGGCACCAGAGGATCTCAATTAGGTCAACTCTAAGCCTTCTTTTTTCCAGGCTGAAAAAACCAGTTCTCTCAGCCTTGCTTTACAGAAGAGGTGCTCCAGCCTTCTGATCATCTTGGCATCCTCTGGATTTGTTCCAATAGGTCCAAGTCCTTCCTTTCTTGAAGAGCCCAGCTCTGGATGCAGTGCTCCAGGTGGGTCTCAGCAGAGCAGAGCAGAGGGGCAGAACCCCCTCCCTCCCCTGCTGCCCACAGGGCTCTGATGCAGCCCAGGACACATTTGGCTCTCTGGGCTGTGAGTGCCATGGCCAGGGCATGTCCAGCCTCTCACCCACAGCACCCCCAGGTCCTTCTGGGCAGGGCTGCTCTGGGTCTGTTCATGCCCAGCCTGTGCTGACACCAGGGGTGTCCCAAGGTGCAGCACCAGCACTTGGCCTCGTTAAACTTCATGAGATTCCCATGGGTTACTTCTTGTCCAGGTCCCTCTGGATGGCATCCCATCCTTCAGGAGTGGCAACCACACTGCTAAGTTTGGATTCATCAGCAAATTTGCAGAGGGTGCACTAGATTCCTCCATTTATTTAATTAATGAAGACTCTACATAAGACTGGTCCCAGTACAGATCCCTGAGGGACACCACTTGTCACTGATTTCCATCAGGACTCTGAGCCATTGACTAGTACCCTCTGGATGTGACCATACAACC